GGAAAGATGAATCCTTTCAGCCCCACAATTACAGGCCAGTCTGTGCAAACAAAGGACCCATTCATGTGGCTAAACAAACAGCAAATGGGATCCTCGTGGGGGGAAAGGGGGAGGCCAGGAAGGGGGAGATCATACATCTGTGACTCTGTTTACCAAGCTGTGTGTAGGGCAGGGAACGCCGTCTCTCAGCTCTTCTGCTCAAGGCCAGTGCTCTACCACTTGAGCCAAGGCACCACTTCCAGTTCTCTGAGCAATTTATTGGAGATAAGAGTCTCACGGACTTTTCTGTCCCGGGGCTGGCTTGGAACCACAATCCTCAGATCTCAGCCTCCTGAGTAGCTAGGATGACAGGCGTGAGCCACCAGCACCCGGCCAGCTGTCTTTAAATTTATGATCATTATTGGTGTTTTGAGCTGAGATTACAGACATGTCACCGTACTCTAATTCCCAACATCAGTTATTTTATATGAAAGGAGGAGTGAATGGATGAATGGGCTTGAACAACATATAGATAATAAGCATATCATAGACATCAAATATTGCCTCTCCCCCCCACAAAAGGGTCTGGGGCCTGTGAAGTCACGAGAGACACCCCAAAGCGAGAGCAGCTCAGGCCAGGCCGTCATCTTCCTCACCACCTAGAAGAGAGGAAGCCATACCTCACACCTGCCATCCTAGTTACTCAGGAGGCTGAGATGTGAGGATCACAGTTCAAAGCCAGCCCGGGCAGCAGGGAAATCCATGAGTGGAGCTGTGGCTCAAGTGGTAGAGAAAGCCAGCCTTGAGGGGAGAATAAAACACACACCTAGGGGACAGCACCCAGGACCTGAGTTCAAGCCCTGGTACTGGCAGAGAGCAGAGAGACAGAGACGGAGAAACAGAGAGGCAGAGACAGAGAGGCAGAGACAGAAGAGAGAAGAGAAAGGGGTGAGAGGAGAGGGAAGGGAGGGAGAGAGAGGGGAGAGTCAGCCAGTAGGAATGATAGGATTCTGACGCTCACTTCCAGCCAGCATGAGCTACATTCCTGCAAGCTGAGCACGAGTGGAATTTCCAGCCTAGGTAGCAGAATGGAACTTAGAACAAAAAGCTCAGCAGAAAAGAACCCAGGGACAATGGAGCCCAGGCCCCCACTGCCCTGGGCCGGCTGTTGAGTTCATAGAATCTCGGTGTGGAGGCCTGGGCCTCTGTTCAGACCGGATGAAGAACCTTCACAACACAGGCTGAAAAGAATCTGGGGATAATCTGAGTCAAAGCCAGCCCTGCCAGGAAAGTTCATGAGAATCACACACACACACACACACAGACACACACACACACACACACACACAGATTTCCCACCAGGGAAGGGAGCAGCTTGGTGGAGGATGGACTTAAGTACAAGACAATGACAGCTACACAGACACACTGGCATCTCCGCTGGCCTGACCTGAGTTTCTTCTTCGTGATCAATCACACTGACAAACTGTGCTAAGAAATTCTGCTGTGTCGGTCTTTAATGGCTGTTCTTTTGCTCTGCTATTTCTCAAGACATTAATTTCTTCAAGGATGTATTATTGATGAGGACCAATGGCCTGGGAGCCATTGTCATCTAGATCTTGTAGATTAGAAGGAGTTGAAGGCAGGATCCAGAAATCACTCAGTTTTGAGTAAGGTGCACATGGTCTTAAAAAATAGGAAAAAAAAGCTGGGTGCCGATGGCTCATGCCTGTCACCCTCGCTACTCAGGAGGCTGAGATCTTGAGGATCACCATTTGAAATCACCCCAGGCAGAGAAATCTGTGAGACTCTTATCTCTGAATAATAATGAGTCAGGGGCTGGGGGAAGTGGCTCAGTGGTAGAATGCTTGCTGAGCATGCATGAAGTCCTGGGTTCGATTCCTCAGTACCATATACACAGAAAAAGCCAGAAGTGGAGCTGTGGTTCAAGTGGTAGAGCACTAAACTTGAGCAAAAAGAAGCTCAGGGACAGTGCCCAGGCCCAGAGTTCAAGCCCCACTACCGACACACACAAAAAATTAAACACAACAATTTCGATTCGAGATATTAAAGGAAGGTAGGGGTACTGGGTGGGCAGTACTAAAGTTGGCTAGCATCACAGGTAGGTGACTGGTGTCACAGAAGGTAAGTTACCTACATGCCCAGCCTGAGGAGCTGGGAACAAGTCTCTGTGTGGGAAGTAACATACTGACCAAGGCTAGCTAGGTTCCTTGAGACACTTCAATGACGTTGAGAAATAAAATCCTGAATGGCATGGGTTAGTGGCTAGGTAGAGGGCAGGACTGTTCAAAAGGGGGGATACCAAGAAGACTCGCTATCTACCCCCTGGGACTAATGACATTTCCTGAAGTGCTTGTGACAGCTTTCCCTTGCCCTTTGGAGGAAGTGGACAGGTTACACGCATGCACAGATCTCATAGATGGATGGATGGATAGATAGATATGATAGTTTATTTTCTAGTGTCCAAAGACATTGAGCTGGGAAAGCCAGGTGTAGCCTGAGTATTTTGGTTCCTACTGCTATGACATTCCATGTCATTTGCCTCCTTTTTTACCTATTTTTTGGACGGTCCTGGGGCTTGAACTCTGGGCCTGGGCACTGTCCTTGAGCTCTTCAGCTCAAGGCAAGTGCTCTACCATTTGAGCCACAGCACCACTTCTCGTTTTCTGTTGGTTAACTGGAGATGAGTCTCAAGGACTTTTCTTGCTAGAGGCTGGTTTTGAATCGAGATCCTCAGATTTCAGCCTCCTGAGTAGATAGGATGACAGCATGAGCCACTAGTGCCCGGCTAGTTGTCTCCTTTTTTTTTTTTTTATCAGGCATAGGAGCCAAGGATAAAGTTGGTATTATCTAAATGCAAGGGTGGGACATACTGTGTGTTTGTGTGTGTGTGAATGTGTATATGTGTATGCAAGTCCTGGAAGTTGAACTCAGGGCCTGGGTGTCATTGTGGCTTTTGTGCTCAAGGCTAGCGCTCTACCACTTGAACTACAGCTCCACTTCAGGTTTTTTTTAGTTAATTGGCTAATTTGGTTGATTGGAGATGAATCGCACACTTTCCTGCTTGGGCTGGCTTTGAACTGGGATCCTCAGATCTCAGTCTCCTTGTAATCTAAGATTACCGTTGTGAGGCACCGGTGCCCAGATCTCATCTATCAATAATAAAACCAGTTGACATTGTTTTAAGAAGGGAAGGAGGCCCAGGCCCAGAGTTCAGGCCCCACGACTGGACCCAAAAAAAAAAAAAAAAGAAGAAGGGAAGGAGGAGCTGCAGCGCACATGTGTATCCTAACTACACAGGAGGCTGTGATCTGAGGCTCCAGGATGAAAGCCAGCTGAAGCAGAAAAGTCTTGTAAGACTCCATTTCCAATTAGCCGGCAAAGTGTTGGATTGTTCCAAGTGGCAGAGCACAAGCCATGAATGAAAACACCAAGCTAGAACATAAGGCCCTGGGGGCAAAGTCAACCAACCAACCAACCAATAAATGAGGGAGAGAGGTGGTGAATTTGACAGTGACTCCCTCCCACCACTTGGTGTTTTTATTTAAATCGTCTATTGGCTCATGTCAGTTATCCTAGCTACTCAGGAGGCTGCGATCTGAGGATGATCGTTTTGGAAGCCTCTGTGCTCCGATTAACCAGCAAAAAGTTCCCAGTGGAGTTGCGGCTCCATGGGTAGAGCGCTAGAGCAAAGGGGCAGTCACCAGGCCCTGAGTTCAAGCAACACACACACACCCTAAAAATAAGAATCTATCTCTGCTGGGAGTGTGGCACAAAGGTCAGAGGTCTCTGTTGGGTTCAGGGCTGAGCATGGGATACCAACCAGCTCACACTCCCTGTGTAACTGGTGCCTCCCCCCCCTTTAGTATTTATTTGCAGTGCCAGGGATGGAACCCAGGGCCTGGCCTGGTGCTCAGCCAGCCCTACCATTGAGCCCAGCTCTCCGCCTCCATCCCCTTATTTGTTGGCAAGAACCAAGGGGGGTCGGGGAGGGCTGGGAAGGTGGCTCAGTGGTAGAGTGCTCACCCAGCATGCATGAAGCCCTGGGTTCGATTCCCCTAGTACACAGGAAAAAAGCCGGAAGCGGTGCTGTGGCTCAAGTGGTAGAGCACCAGCCTTGAACTGGAGAGCTCAGGGACAAGTGTGCCCAGGCCATGAGTTCAAGGCCCAGGGCTGGCGCGCACACACACACAGAACTAAGAGAGAAGCTGAGGGTCGCATCCGTTTACCCGGGCCTGGCAGGGCCCTGCCCGGTGTACACACCAATCGGTTCCTGCGGATCTCCCAATTGATTAGCAGGTGGGACGTAGCTCTAGGCCTGTGGGCACACACACGTGCGGCTCCGCGCATGCGCGACCCGCCCGCACCTCCGGCCCCGCTGGGGTCCTGCCTAGAGCCAAGTCACCAAAAAGCCTGCCCACGAGGCAACACGCTCGGCCAATCAGGAAGCCGGACTCCGCGAGTGACGTCACTTCACTTTGCATAGATGCCTCCGCCTCTTCCCGGCTTCCGCACCCTCCTCTTCTTCCCCGCCCCCCCCTCCGCTCCGCCCACCGCGGGCGGGGGATTGTCACCTAAGCGTTTCGTTCCGCCAGCTGATTGGCTCGTCGCTCAGGCCCCGCCTCCGTCTCCTCCCGCCCAACCCGCCCTCCGGCGCGCCCACAGCGGCGGGCGGAGCTCAGCACGCAGGCGCGGCGCGGCCTCTCTCTGCTGGTGGCCCGCCCTCCCTCCTTCCCCTTCCCTCCCCTCCCCGCCCCCTCTCCCCCTTCCTCTCCGGGCCTGCGCGCGCGGCTTCCTCCCGCACGCGCCGCCGCCGCCGCCGCCGCCAGCCGGGCTCTGTGGTCGGAGCCTGCGGCCCGCGGCTGTCCTCCTCCCCACCCCCGGCCCGTCCGTCCGTCCGTCCGCGTCCGTCGTCGCCGCCGCCAACGCCGCCTGGGCTCGGGCGCGGGGGCGCGAACCCCCCCACGCGGCCGCTTCCGGGGCGGGCGCTGAGGCGTCGGCGCGCCGCGCGGGCCGCGTGAGCTCGGAGCCCCGCGGGCCTCGCCCGCCGCCGCCGCCGCCCATCCGGGCCGGAGAGGCCGCGGCCATGGCCGAGACGGAGGAGCGGAGCCTGGACAACTTCTTCGCCAAGAGAGACAAGAAGAAGAAGAAGGAGCGCAGCGGCCGGGCGGCGGGGGCCGCGGGCGCGGCGGGCGCGGCGGGCAGCGCGGGCGGGGGCGGCGGGGCGGCGGGCGGCGGCGGGGCCGCGGGCGCCCGGCCGGGGGACCAGGCCGGCGGGGCCGCGGGCAGCGCGGGGACCCGGCCGGGCGACCAGGCCGGCGGGGCCGCGGGGACCAGGCCGGGCGACGGCGCGGGCGGCGCGGGCTCGGGCGGCGCGGGCAAGGCCGCGACCAAGGTGAGGAGCGGGGGGGGGGGGGAGCGGCGGGGGGAGGAGGGGGGCACCCCAGGGTCCCGACCCCCCCCCCCCCGCCCCCCGGCGGTGCTGGGAGCCCCAGCAGTGGGCGCGTTCAGATCCAGGATGATGATGATGATGAATATTACTAATGAATACTTCAATCCGGGCATTTATGGGGGGGGGGCTCTGGATTCTTCTTCATAAAACCCGATGAAGACACATTAATAAAAGGTCTTCCCTCCCCCCCCCATCTCGAGCCTCTGGAAACATTTTGAACTGGCAGGATTGTTCATCTTCTTTTTTTTTTTTTTTTTTAAATGGTCAAATTTCCTCGTTCCCGACTTTTTCCGAAGAGTTGGGGGGGGGCGTTGGAAGCCGGCCGGCCATACAAGCTTTCCTGGTGGTTTTATCTCTTCCCTGCCCTCCCCCCCCCCTCCAGCAGAGAGGCTGGATGATAGTTGGATTTCACTTAAGTTAGCTTAAGATTGCAGATTCTTAGCCTCCCGACCCCCACCTCCCCCCCCCCATAGATCTGCGTCGCCATTTGCTTCCATTGATCTAATGGTCTATTATTCCCCCCCCCCCCCTTCTCTTTTTCCTCAGGATGAAGATGAGTGGAAGGAATTTGAGCAGAAAGAGGTTGATTACAGCGGGCTACGAGTCCAGGCAATGCAGATAAGGTCAGTGTGGAGCTATAAACAACCCTGTTTTAAGATAGGGTATTGGGCACTGGGAAGGTGGCTCAGTGGTAGAGCGCTTGCCTTGTATGCTTGAGGCCCTGGGTTCAATTCCTCAGCACCACATAAGCAGAAAAAAGCCAGAAGTGGTGCTGTGGCTCAAGTGGTAGAGCACTAACCTTGAGCTAAAGAGCTGAGAGACAGCGCCCAGGCCCAGAGTTCAGGCCTCAGGACTGACCCCCCCCCCAAAAAAAAAAAGGAGGGTATTGGGCCCAAGTTTGGCTTCCTTTCTCTCCACCTCTCCTCCTCCCTCCCCCCTTTTTTGGCAGAGGTGAAGGCTGAGCTCGGCCTTGCACTTGGCCAGGCAAAAGTGCTCTTCCACTGAGCTAAATCCTCGGCCTTCCCCCACCCCCCTTAAAAAAAAATCCAAAGCAGAATCCTGGTAGTCTTTCAACTTCCATGTGCTTACTAGGGCTGGAATGGTTTGGCTACTGCCCCTCCATGAAGTCAGCTCTTCTGTATGCTCTTGAAATGAGTTGCCAGCTCAGGAATTCTCCGAGAGCTCACCTCCTTTCACCTCTGCTTGGTTAGGTTTTTTTTAATTTGAGATCAAGAGAATGGACTGTGTCATTTTTAATTTTGGGGGGGTTGGGGGAGCCTGGCACCAGGGGCTTTGAACTGGGGCTTCATGCTCAATAGACAGTCAATGTAGTAATAAGCTACTCCTCCAATGACATTTTTTTTGTGCTGGTATTGGGGCTTGAACTCTGGGCCTGAGGAAGGGGAGGGCCATCCCTGAGCTTTTGAGCTCAAGGCCAGAATCCTATCATTTGAGCCTCAGCTTCACTTCCGGCTTTTTGTGACTAATGGGAGATGAGTCTCAAGGAGTTTACTGCCCAGGCTGGCTTTACACCGAGATCCTCCGGATCTCAGCCTCGAGTCGATAGGATTAAAGGCCTGGGCCACCAGAGCTTGGCTTTGCAGCTCCATTGTTAACTTTTAATACTGGTGGTTGAACTTAGCTTTTTGGCACTGTGTGTGTGTGTGTGTGTGTGTGTGTGTGTGTGTGTGTGTGTGTGTGTGTGTGTGTGTGTGTGCGTGTGCGTGCGCGCGTGTGTGTGTGTGTGTGTGTGTGTGTGTGTCTTTGGCAAGGGGAGGTTAAAAAACAGTATGGATATTTTTCAGGTTCTCTCCAGTAAGCAAATTAATTAATTTGTAATTGAAGCCTAGGTACTTGGCAGAGAAAGACATTTTTTTATTCACTACCTTCACCTCCAAGGATTTTGACCACTATCCTGACCGTAGATTATATTTTTTTGGAACTTCATAGGAATAGAACCATTAAATCTTCCATAGCTACTTTTAAAGTTCAAGGAAATGGATTTCAAAAGTTGGATTGGAGCTGGGCGCCAGTGGCTGATACCTGTAATCCTATAGCTTACTTAGGAGGCTGAGGTCGGGGATCGCCATTTCAAGCTAGCCAGGGCAGAAAATCGCCAATAAACTACTCAAAAGAGCCAAAAGCGGCACTGTGGCTCAAGTGATAGTGCCAGCTTTGTGCACTAAGAGGCTCCCAGGTGCTGAGTTCAAGCTCAGGACCAGCAGAGAAAAAAGAAAAAAAATTTAACTGGTTGGTTTTAAGACTTAGAAATTAATGTGTTTTAACAAGATGGGAGTCCTTTGTTCTTTGTTGAATATGGAAAATAAAGGCAGGAATGGTTCGACACACCTGCAATCTCAGCGGCAGGAGGATGCTGAGAGGTTACAGGCCAGCCTGGGATGTAACAATATCCCTTGTCTGAAAAACCCAGACGTATTTTGAGGGGCTTGTAATTTGGGTAGGAGGTGAAAATAGTCTGTTACCTTAAGGTAAAAAAAAGTTCTTGCTGGGGCTGGGAAGGTGGCTCAGTGGTAGAGCACTTGCCTTGCATGCCTGAGGCCCTGGGTTCAATTCCTCAGCACCACATAAGCAGAAAGAAAAAAGCCGGAAGTGGCGCTGTGGCGCAAGTGGTAGAGCGCTCGCCTTGAGCTGAAGAGCTGAGGGACAGTGCCCAGGCCCAGAGTTCAGGCTCTACGACCGGACCCCCCCCCCCCCCCCCCAAAAAAAAAAAAAAGTTCTTGCTGGGCACCAGTGGCTCACGCCTGTCATCCTAGCTCTCAGGAGGCTGAGATCTGAGGATCATGGTTCAAAGCCAGCCATGGCAGAAAAGTCCCCATGAGACTTTTACCTTCAATTAACCATTCAAAAGCTAGAAGTGGCACTGTGTCTCAAGTGGTAGAGCTCTAGCCGTGAGCACACAAGCTCAGGGACTGCACCCAGGCTCATGAGTTCAAGCCCCACAACCAACCAAAAATAAAATTCTTGACTTCCAGTTTAAAGAAATAAGATCTCAGTAAACTGCTATCTTTGAAATTCAGCCAGAAATTCAGCTGAAGGAAAAATACTTCCCTTAACTGAAAACTCTCCTTTGACCTCGATACCATTTATGGTTCGGAATAACTTTTAGTGAAAAACCAGAGGTTTTTCTTTTTTCTTCTGAGATAGTTTCAAACTCACCATCCTCCTTTCCCAGTCTCTTGGATGGCTGGGGTTACAGGCATGCACCACCACACTGGACTTCAGAGATTAAGTATATTTAATACCTCCCACGGCCAGGCCCTTAGGTTCTTGCCTGTCATTTTGTGAGCTTACCAGGATGAAACCACCTGTTTGTAATGGGAAGCTTTCAGGAAGTGCCTTTTCACTCAGTGTTCTTGTTAATACTGTTGATTTCCCAGCCACTTGTTGGTTTCCTTTGTTAGCTGCTTTTGAGAAGGTGTCATATCTGTTCTAGTTTAATTTCTCCTGGGGCTTGGCCTGTAACAGCTGGCAGGGGTGCGGATGGCGAGGCTCCTGTCATGACGCTGTTGTGGCTGTGTGAGTGTGTGGCGGTTGGTGGTAAAGTTCGACTTTCGTGACCTGGACTTTGAGAGCTCAGTGGTAGAGAGGAAGGGTAGTATTGGACTGTGAAGGGCTTTCAGAACTCCGCACGGCCGACCATTGATTTTATTCTGATTGTTGGCTCTGAGACCAGATCTCAGTGTGTAGCCCAGGATGACTTCAAGCAGTCTGATCTTTTCTTTGCCCTCCTAAGTGCTGGGTTGCATGGGCAGGCAGCGCCATGCATAGCTGATCTGTGGCCTTACTTTGCCCTCGGTGCTGTGGAGCAAACCCAGGGCTGGAACATGGCTAAGTGAACGCTCCACCACCCAGCTCCTCCCTCAGCCCTGACTTTTAATCTCCTTCTAAGAGAGGGGGAACTCTTGGGATTCAAGGGATCCCCTTGTACTTTGAAGTACTCCAGATGGTAAAGTGTTGAACCGAGGAAATCTCGGTTGGTCTGAGTATTTGAGTACAAGTGTTCTGTTTGACCTAAAGTAGACTGGCCTTTATGTTGGAGCCCCTGGGTGGCCATTGTGGACATTTTTCACTGACCTCAGTTGGTCTTTTTAGTTTAGTTTTTTTTTTTTTTTTTTTCCAGAGCCAAGGATGGAGCTCAGGGTCTTGCCCTTGCTAGGCAAGTGCTTCCCCTGAGCTCTCCCCACCCGACCTGCTCACGTGTGGAACATTCCTTATTCAGGAAACTTTGTGGGTCCTTACATGGTGGAATCTGGAGTCTGTAGTTCCATCACCCCTTCTGAATAGCTTCTAGAAAGGATTGAGTGGGAAACCATTTCAGGTTTTATAATAGTGACCTCAACTGTCAACTTTGTTTGGTCCTGGGAATTGAAACCCTCCCCTCCCCCCAGGCAGGGCCTGTAGGCCAGACAAATGAGCCACATCCGTAGCCTTTTATTTTTATTTTTGGTCAGTTGTGGGGCTTGAACTCTAGGCCTGCGCGCTGTTCTTCATCTCAAGGCGAGCGCTCTACCACTTGAGCCACAGCACCACTTCCGGTTTTCTTGTGGTTCATTGGAGATGAGTCTCACGGACTTTTGTGCCCTGTGTGGCTGTGAACCATGATCCTCAGGTCTCACCTCCTGAGTAGCTAGGATGACAGGCACGAGCCCCTGGCCATCTGTTCCTAGCCTCTTTTAATTTGAGATAGTCCTGCTTCAATTGTCCAGTCCTTGAACTTGATAGGTGGAGCAGAAAAGCCTCAGACTTGCGGTCTTCCCTTTATTAAGAAAGGTGACAAGGCTGGGAATGTGGCTTAGTGGTAGAGTGGCTTGCACGAGACCCTGGTTTCAATTCCTCAGTACCACACATGCAGAAAAAGCCAGAAGTGATGCTGAGCAAAATAAGCTTAGGGACAGTGCCCAGGCCCTGAGTTCAAATCCTATGACTGACAAAAAAAAAAAGCTGACAGTAGGTTGGGGGTGTCCTTGATCGGTGGAACATTGTACACCATGCACCAAGCCTGGCCTCTGTCTCCAGCACTGCCCTGCCACAAAAATCTCTTGCTGATGGTGAGACTCAACATGGCCCGAGTCTCAGAGAAAAGAATTGTTAGTTCAGAGGTAAGTGGTAAGCAGGTAGGTTACATAATGGGTAGAGTTGATTATTTAGCAAAAATGTGGGCTTTCAGGAAAGACAAGTGGTTTGCACTTTGCGTCCACAGCTTCACGTTTGATTGACTTTGGGCAGCAGGTCAGTCTGTGTGTTTGGCAGTATAGTATTGGCCATTGAACTGGGGCCTCAAGCTTGCAAGGCAAGCAAGCTCCCAGTCCATTTTTCTACCTCCCTCTTTCTTTCTTTCTTGTCAGTCATGAGGCTTGAACTCTGGGCCTGGGCGCTGTCCTTCAGCTCAAGGCGAGTGCTCTACCACTTGAGCCACAGCACCACTTCCAGCTTTTTCTGCTTATGTGGTGCTGAGGAATCGAACTCAGGGCCTCATGCATGCAAGGCAAGAACTCTACCACTGAGCCACCTTCCCAGCCCCTGTCTCTCAGCTCTTTAGCTCAAGGTGAGTGCTTTACCACTTGAGCCACAGAGCCGCTTCCCGCTTTTTCTGCTGGTTTTATTTGGAAATAAGAGTCTCACAGGCGGAGCGCCGGTGGCTCACGCCTGTCATCCTAGCTACTCAGGAGGCTGAGATCTGAGGATCACAGTTCAGAGCCAGCCCAGGCAGGAAAGCCCGTGTGACTCTTTTATTTCCAATACACCACTAGAAAAGGGGAAGTGGCACTGTGGCTCAGGTGAGTGGTAGAGTGCTAGCCTTGAGCTGAATTGTGCAGGGACAGGGCCCAGGCCCAGAGTTCAAGCCCCACGACCAACAAAAAAAAAGTCTCATGGTCTTTTTTGCCGGGACTGGCTTTGAACCGCAATCCTCAGATCTCAGCCTCCTGAGTAGGTAGGATGACAGGCGTGAGCCACCAGCGCCCGGCTGTCTGTGGGACTCTTATCACCAATTAATCACCAAAAAAGCTGTACGTGGAGCTATTGCTCAAGTAGTAGAGCACCGGCCTTGAGAAAAAGAGCTTAGGGACAGTGCCTGGGCCCTAAGTTGGAGTCCTAGGATGGTCACAAAAACCAGCTAGGCACTAGGATGACTAAAACTTGGTGTGAGTGTTGTGTTGCTGGAGGGACCCAATGGATGCCTCTTGTGGCTTCATCTAAGCTTTGGAGCAGAAGTGTGGAGAAGGGAAGGAGGCTTTGGTGGGGTGGTGATTTTTTTCTACAGTTTAGTCTGGTTGGTTTCCTTTTTGGGGACAAAGTCTCCCTGGGTGTCCCAGGCTAGCCTCGATCCCACTGTTGTATTCTTTATCTTTGGGACAAGAGAGAAGGAAGTTGACTTCAAATGTCTTCAGGTTTTCAGTCAGTAATTTGAAGTTTTGTGGTTCTTTTTTGGGGGGTGGGGGTTCCTGGGCCTGGGCGCTGACCTGAGCTGCTTTTGCTCAAGGCCAGCCCTCTTGCCACTTGAGCCACAGCTTCACTTCCAGATTTTGCTGTGATACATTAGGACTTTCCTGCCTGAACTGGCTTCAAATCATAATCCTCACATCTCAGCCTCCTGAGTAGCTAGGGTGATAGTCATGAGCCGCCAACACCCAGCCAGTGATTTTCTTCTAACTTTGCTTCACAGACCTCAGAAGAGCTGTAAGAATTGTGAAGTCCTAGTATTATCGTACGTGTGCTTTGCACTCAGATTCTCTACTGTAGCCATGTTTTCTCTGCCGCCTTCACTGCGTGGCGTAGTTGGAGAATCTCCATGATCTACAGTGATCTCCCTGGCGGTTTTCAGCCTAAATGTCCATTTGGGAAGGCCCCCCCCCCCCATCTACTACTCCGTATGCCTCGGTGCTAGCCATGCTTAGCACGCTTAGCAGGCGTGTTTGGGGGCAGCGCTCAGTTGCTCACTGTATTGGAGGTGAGTGAAGCCGCTGAGGTGGTTCTCTCGCAAGCTGGCGATGGCTTCCTGCAGGCCCCGTGGCCCCCTCTCTCCCATCCAACATGGATTTTGGAAAGACAGTTACACAATGTACAGTTGTCATGTTTCAAGCAGGGATCGAGTTCTTGAGAGTCCAGGGATTTTTTTTTAGGATACTTGTTGAGAAATCTTAGATCTTTACAAACCCTTGGCTAGAGCAAGTGCTCCCTTGGTTTTTTAGTTGAACTCGGGGTGGGGGGGGTGGGGGTTCTACTTGCGGGGCGGCCGCCTTCAGCCCTTCAGCTCCCGCTTTGAAGAGCTGACTCCAGAATCCAAGCCTCCCTTCCCGGTAGCCGTGGTTTTTGAGACTGCTTGTGTGCTGGGCCTTGTGCTCTAAGATGCAGGGAGCTCATTCCAAGTGCCGGGGCGCAGACAGAGCCGCAGTGAGGCCCGCCGAAGGTCATCAGACATTTTAACCTCTGCATTTTCCTGTGGCTCTGTCAGGTGAGGAGAGGGACAGCCCACCGGGCCCCGGCTGCGCAGCCTGCGCAGCCGCCAGTCCCCAGCGGGCCGGGCCCCGCCTGGGAGATGCCCAGCTTGTCAGGCCTTTCTCCCGCTGCTTCCCTGTTGTTGGGGAAGGGTTAGAGTGCACGTGTGACTGGTGTGAGGTTAGGGGGACAGAATGTCTTCTCCTTACTTCGTAGACTGATCAGCTTCCTAAGGAAAATGAGCTTCGTCACTAGAATAGCTTGGGTTGATCTTGCGCCTGTGTAGGACAGGAAGAGGCCCTAAAATGTGAGTGCCAGCTTGTGCTGTGCGGAGGACCCCCCCCCCCCCAACTTGGCGCTCGCCCGGAGTGAGTGGTGGGGTGCTGATGCCCCAGCCAGTCCTTTGGAGCCTCTGCCTCTGCTGTCTGCTCCCACACGCACTCCAGCCCCCCGCCGCTCACCACACAGAGCCCCACTGGTGGAAGTGTTGAGGTGAATCTAATACAGTGGCGAGCGATATAAACAGTTTGGCTAGTGAAAAGCTGCCTATTTATTAACTAACTGGGTTCAAACACTGAGTTTTAACCCAATTATCTTCTGCAGAAATAGGCACCATGTGTGTGCTGGCTTCCGCATGGAGGGTTGACACTACTGAAATATGCAAATAGAAAGTAGAGAGGGCGTGCGTGCAGAAAGCTGCTGCCCGGCCTGCAAGCAGGCATGTAGGTGAGGCGTTCAGTATCTTTTGAGCCGTACTGGTTTATGTTTTTGTGCCAGTCCTGGGGCTTGACCTCAGGACCTGGGCGCCATCCCTGAGCTGCTTTTGCTCAAGGCTAGCACTCTACCACTTGAGCCACAGCGCCACTTTGGTTATTTTCTAGTTATGTGGTTGGTACTAAGGAATCGAACCCAGGGCTTTCTGCATGCTAGGCAAGCACTCCACCACTGAGCCACCTTCTCAGCCCTGAGCTGCTTTCTTTTGCTCAAGGCTAGCACTCTACCTGTTGAGCTACGGCTCTACTTCCAGCTTTTTGGTATGGTGGCTACTTCGAGGGAAGAGTCTCAGACTTTCCTGCCTAGGCTGGCTTCGAACTGTGATCCTCAGAATCTCTGCTTTCTGAGTAGCTAGGATGACAGGCGGGTGCTTGGCTTCTGTACATTTTTTTTTTTTTTGAGTAGGTGACAGCTGTTTGGCAGGAGCTACTCTGAGGATTTGGGGGTGCTAGGTGGTAGTGGGGGGAAATGTCAGTGCTGGGGGAACCCCGGCCTCGGCTTGCTTTCCTCTGTTGGAATGAAAATTGTTATTTTGCAAATAAAATTATATCTTTCAAAACCCTTCATTTGCTTACTAAAAATACACTCGCCATAAATGACAGTTTGTACATTCTCGTACTTGAAAAAAATCTCACCATAGTGCATGCAAACCGTTTCCTCGGCATTTCTTCTCTCCCGGGGCTGCCAGGTCTGGAGCCTGAACTTGGGGCTGTGAGGTTGTCTCCCCACAAGGTGTTTTTGGTTCAGTGAAGGAGGTGGAGGGAGGGGTGTGGTCACCACCATTGTTCTTTAAACCTTCTCAAAAGTAGGGGCGTCCTTACTACACATGAAGTCGGTTGGGGGGGGGGCGTGGAGTCCCGGGGAGCGAGGTGGATAAAGTTCTTGCTCCCATCTCCCTTTTCCAAGCACTGGCCCAGGCTTTGACGAGGTTACACGTCTGTGCCAGAGCCACGCTTCGGGGGTTTTTGTTTTGTTTTTTTGGTCAGTCCTGGGGCTTGAACTCTGAGCCTGGCGCTGTCCCTCAGCTCTTCAGCTCAAGCCGAGCGCTCTACTGCTGGAGCCATAGCACCACTTTTGGTTTTCTGGTGGTTCATTGGAGATCAGAGTCTCAAGGACTTTCCTGCCCGGGCTGGCTTTGAACCACAATCCTCAGTTCTCAGCCTCCTGAGTAGCTAGGATGACAGGCATGAGCCACTGCGCTCAGCTCTACATCTCAGGGTTTTTTGGTGGGTTGTTCAAGTCCCCTGTTGGCTTTGTTTTCCTCACAGTGAGAAGGAGGAGGAGGAGGATAACGAGAAGAGAGAAGACCCCGGGGATAACTGGGAAGAAGGGGGCGGCGGCGGAGGGCTGGAGAAGTCTTCAGGGCCCTGGAATAAAACAGCTCCTGTGCAAGCGCCTCCTGCTCCAGTTGTAGGTAAGCGTGCGAGTCTGTTGTGGGTGAGTGCAGGTGGGGGGCGGGGAGGGGTGCAGCCCCTCCTTTCCTGGGAAGAGGAGTTTGAATATGGCTCTTTAAATTTAGATTCAAATCTTAAACAGAAGGCATTTATTTATTTGGAAGTTCACATACTTTTGTAACTTTTTGTTGTTGTTGTTGTTCATGGGGCTTGAACTCTGGGCCTGTTCTTCATCTCAACGTAAATAAATGCTCTACCACTTTGAGCCAGAGCACCACTTGTGGTTAATTGGAGAGCAGAGTCTCATGGACTTTCCTGCCTGGGCTGGCTTTGAACTGCCATCCTCAGCTCTCAGCCTCCTGAGTAGCTAGCATGACAGGCGGGAGCCGCTGGCGCCTGGCCTAGCTAACAGTTTTAAAAAAGTTACTTTGCTGGGCACCTGCGGCTCCCGCCGTCATCCTAGCTACTCAGGAGGCTGAGCTGAGGATGGCAGTTCAAAGCCAGCCCAGGCAGGAAAGTCCATGAGACTCTGACCTCCAGTGAGCCACTAGAAAACCGGAAGTGGCGCTGTGACACCCAGGCCCAGAGTTCAGGCCCCACGACCGACAGAACAAAACAAAATGGCACAGGCTTCGTGGGGCATGTGTGTGTGTCATCCACGGTGTCGTGCAGCTGCATGCCGCCGGCCGGGCTGGGACGGTGTCCAGGTCTGGGAGCAAAGTCTCCCAGGACTTGTCTCCCACGAGAGGACTGCTCCCAGGACCAACCCCGCAGCTGGGGTTAAGTACCTTCCCTTGGGTCACAGGGCCCAGAGACGCTTCTGTGCAGATTATTTTTTCCCCATAATCGCTGAGCGACAGAGGCTGAGGGTTTTCTCTAAACTCTTGCAACCTATCAGTTCCAGAGCCCCCCGAACCGGCGATGCCTAGTGGTGTGTATAGGCCTCCCGGGGCGCGGCTAACCACCACAAGGAAAACGCCGCAAGGACCCCCAGAGATCTACAGCGACACGCAGTTCCCGTCCCTGCAATCCACTGCCAAGCACCTAGAAAGCCGGAAGTAAGAACGTTGTGTGTACGGGGGTGGCGGCAGGGGCGTGGAGTATGAAAGCCTGGTTGGGGGGGTAGGGCTGCCGAAGGCGGGCAGCTGAGAACGCGGGGGGCTCAGGACGGGGGCTGGGGGTAGGGCCAGGGCTCCGAATTACACTTGAACCTTGTCACATAGCTTCTCCAGGCCCTGGTTCGCCTTTTAAGGCTTGTGAGCGAGACTGGCGCTAGGGAAACTCGCCGGGGAGCGCACGCCGCTGCCGCCCGCGTCTTCCGCCGAGCGGTGCGCGCGGGGCTCGCGCGGTGCACGCGGTGCGCGCGGTGCGCGCGGGGCGCTCGCGGGGCGCTCGCGGGGCTCTCGCGGGGCTCTCGCGGGGCGCGCGGGGCTCGCGGTGCTGTGAGCCGCTGGCGGGCGTGGTTCTCAGCTCTCACATCCGCGTGTTCTCCTTTCAGCAGGTACTTAAAATGAGTGCTACCTGGAGCTAAATGACCACATGCGGCACATCTGCATCTTATTTAGGGACGTGAAGTTTTAAGAGTAAATAAAAGGGGAAGGAAACGTAAATGACATCCGATGGAAATTTTTTTTGAGTGGCTTTTAAAGTGACCCAGCCTTCGGCCTGGTTGAGAGCACCGCACCGCTGGCTTGAACTGAGACCCGCAGCTGGCCCGCACCAGCTCCACCGCTGTCCACACCCGCGCGCGCGAGGCCTCCCGCCCGCCTCTCCTCACCCCACCCAGCCCGACCCGACCCACCCGCTCCACTCCCGCTACCGCTGCCCCACCTGGAAGCCAGGAGAAATCACCGCAGGAGGAGGAGGAGGAGGAGGAGGTTACTTGGAGGAGAGCGATGTTACCTTTACTTCCACATAGACACTGTCTACTCGTTGCTGCAAGTAAAAACCCGCGTGCGGGGCGGAGCGGAGTGAGTGTCTTTCGGTGTCTTCGCGGTGGCCCTAACCTAGGTTTGCAGTGAGCTCGGCTGACAGTTCAGTATTACCCGACCCGCCTCCTTCCAGCCAAAGCCTTAAAGTGTTTGGATGAAGATGTTGCCCGCTTCCTCCCCGCCCCCCGGCGTTCTAAGGGGTGGCATTTTGTTTTTCCTTTTTTTTTTTTTTCTTTTTCTTAATTCAAGGAAGCTATTTGTAAAACACCCTCGTGAAGAGGAAATGTTGATTGCCCGTAGCATTTCTTTTTCCCTGAGGACTGAAAGGAAATGGTGAGGAGCTTTGGAGTGAGTAGAAGACAAATAGAAGTAGGGATGAGGCCCTTCCACGGGAGCGACGCCGCCAGTGCGTGGACCAGCCGAGTAGCGGCCACCCGGGTGACACCCCACTCGGAACAGTCTCCTGCCCCCCGCGTTCACCACCGCCTCGCCAGCCGGGGTCCCCCCAACCCGCTGGAGCCCACACAGCCCGCCCAGGACCCGCTCATATTCAGCCTCCTGGCCTGGGGCACATGGCCGCCGAGGGTGTCGCCGCTGCTCTTGGGTGTGCATTGGAGATGGAGGAATTCTCATTGGTCTGTTGCTGAACCCCCTTTCAGCCATGGCCTTTCACAACCTGCTCCGCAACTTCCAGGACCCCGACCCCGCAGCCTGTGCTCACGGGAACACCGAGCCCCCTGTCAGGTTGACTACCTCACATTCGCTGCGCTTACCCTGGACTTCGCGTGGATCGCCCCTTGTGGGCACCCCGAAACAGCTCTCCCGGATGCCTGCCGGGACTCCTGCGGAAAGCCGGCCAGCCGCCTTCTGATAGTGCTGTAAAGGAGGAAGATTTAAGTGACCTTAACCCCGCGCCCCACCCTGGGGAGCAGCGGGGCGTGCTGTGGCTGCGGGGGACCCCGCCACACGCCGGGCTCCAAGAAACTGAGCTGCGTCCGGCTCATCTGTGTGAGGCTGTGATGTCTAGTGGAAATTTCCAGTTGGCGGCAGCAGCTCCAAGTTAAATTCCACCGAACCTGGGTCCACCACTTGGGCAAAGGGCTGGGAGAGGCGTTCATTGGCTTCGTGCTTTTTCTGTGTTCCACATTAAGGCCTTGCGTTGCTTTGACTTGGAGCGCGTCCTCTGGCTGCTGATGGGTGAAGTCAGCCACCCACCCGAAACACATACATTAGAGTTGTGACGTGTCTGTGAAGTTGCCAGTCTTGAGTGGAACCAAAATAATAGCCTCAATACGGAGCCGTGAGGGGCCCCCCCCTTCCCGGGCCTGTCCCCAACCCTTGAAGAGCCCCCTGTCACCCCAGCAGCTCATGGCGAGTTCCTGTTCTCGTGAGCAGCCTGGGAAGGCACTGGGCGTTGTTCTGTAAGCTCCATGGTTGTCTAGCCAGCTTTGCTCCCCACCTTCGGTGAGGTCGCCATGTTCATTAGGGAGGGCGGGGTGAGACGTGGCGATCGTCGACATCGTCCCCCTTCCTTCAGGAAAGACCCTCTTCTTCCAGGCCACCCCGAGTAGAGTGACGCTCCACAGCGGGATGTGGATGCGGGCGCTTCAGACCCGCGCAGTGGGGCGCCAGGTCCCCTGCAGGCTGGGATGTGATGTGTGGTGTGAGCGCAGGCCTTCCTGGTGAGGCGGCCGGGGTGCTGTCTGTCCGTCTGCCGATGTGTGTGTCGGGTGATGGATTTGGGCGAGTAGCAAAGTCAGCCAGAGTGGGAGGTTGGAAGATGAGAAGCGTAGATTCTTGGTGACATTGAAGACTTCATTTGGGAACCAAAAACCTTAATTTATCTCTTGAACCTTGAGCCACATACTTTTTCTTGAAGCAGGCAGCTGTCCTGCCGCGTTACTTGGGGGGAGGGGGGAGGGAGGAGGCTGGGGTGCTGGGGAGGCTTGTTTCGTGGCCTCCTGTCCTGGAAACCCACAGGCCTGCAGCGGAGTTGAGTCCCAGCCCTCGTCCTGTCTTGTAGAAGATTCTGAAGTGATGAGAATGCACGCGGATGGAGCAGAGTCCCCTGTAGGGTGTGGGTGGGCTGTCCGTGGTGGGCGGCGGTGTGGAGGGGACCGGCCCTGTACCATTTCTTTCTTTGGATTCTCAGGCATGGTTTGGCAGTGCAAGAACTCTGTACCCTTAACAAATTCAATAAAAAAGTAACATACGGATGGTGGCAGTTGGTGTCCTGTCTGCTTGGTGTGGGCGTGTCTTACTGGGGCGCCAAATACAATGGCGTTTGCGTTTCTGAATCTGATTTGCTTTCCTCTAATGACTAATCTTGAGCATCATTGCATGTGCTTGTTGGCCAATTTGCTGACCTTCCTTGTAAAGATTCTAGTTGTGTGCTAACTGCTTTAAAAAACTAAAACCTTTTTTGCCAGTCCTGGGCTTGATCTCAGGGCCTGGGCACTGTCCCTGAGCTGCTGCTTTTGCTCAAGACTGGCACTCTACCACTTGAGCCACAGTGCCACTTCTGGCCTTTTTATTTATTTGGGGGAGGGGCTCCGGTCGTGGGGCTGAACTCTGGGCCTGGGCACTGTCCCTCAGCTCTTTAGCTCAAGGTTAGCACCACTTGAGCCATAGCACCACTTCTGGGTTTTTTATTTTTGCTTATGTTGTGCTGAATCGAACCCAGGGCCTCATGCATGCAAGGCAAGCGCTCTACCACTGAGCCACCTTCCTAGCATTTCTGGCCTTTTCTGTGTGTGATACATGAGGAATCAAACCCAGGGCTTCATGCATGCTAGGCAAGAAGCACTCCACAGCTGAGCCACCTAATCAGCCCTCGAAGCGTGTGTGTGTGTGTGTGTGTGTGGCTGGCTTTAAACTGTGAACCTCTGATCTCGATCTCAGCCTGTTTATTTGGGGGGGCAGCTCCTGGGGCTTGAATGCTGTCCCTCAACTTTTGCTCAAGGCTTGTGCTCAAGGCTTTGCGCTACTCCTAGCTTTATTTATCTTTTATTTAGTAGTTTATTGGAGACGGGTCTCATCGACTGGTTGGTTTTGAGCTGTGATCCTCAGATCTCAGCCTGCTGAGTAGCTAGAACGACAGGCATGCTCCTGTGTTATTGTCCAAGTTCATTCTGCCAAGAGAAAGCCCAGGTACACCAGCACCTGACCAGCACCTGGTGTGGGCGCTAGCGGCTGCAGGTACATTAAAAACCCTGTTCTCTCAGATTGTGAACGTGGCGGGTGGGCAGTGGAGTGGGACAGGAGTGGAGAGAGCGGAGGCTGAGTGTGAAGTGCATTGTGGCAGAATTGGTTAGGAAGTGGCAAAAATCGGGCACGGGACCTGGAGAGTCCTGTGAGCAGGTGGGTTTCTGTGGCCAGGCATTCATGAGGCAATGCCTGCAGAACACAGGAAACTTTTTTTTTTTTTTTTTGTCCGTCAAGCGCTCTACCACTTGAGCCACAGCACCACTTCTGGTTTTCTGAGTGGTTTACTGGAGATCAGCGTCTCGTGATCCTTCCTGCCTGGGCTCTTTGAACCCTGATCCTCAGATCTCAGCCTCCTGAGTAGCTAGGATGACAGGCAGCCACTGGTGCCTGGCTCTTCTCTTGCTTGATGCATCTTCAGGGTCTTTTTAAGATTGTGGCCACTTAGGGAGTTAACGTAGTTTAAGCTTCTTGAAATTACAGCCCAAATGAGATCTGGAGTTCTCCATCATGGACAATACCACACACAGTACCTGAGACTTGATCGCCCAGCTGCTCATTCAGGTGAGTAGAAGCCACTCAACAAAGAATGACCCAAGTGTGGCGTGAGGATGTTCTCCACAGTCTGGCCTCAAATTCATGATCCTCCCCACCCCACCCCGGGTGTCGGCTCAAGATGAGTGCTACTAACATGCCACTTCCACTTCCAGCTTTTTCTGCTTATGTGGTGCCACTTCCAGCCTTTTCTGCTTGTGTGGTACCCAGGGCCTCATGCACGCAAGGCAAGCAACCAACACTACCACTGAGCCACTAGCCACTATTTAACCTTGGGCCAGGCACCCATACCCGCCGCTGCTGGGCAGTCAAACATGGCTTGATCTGTGAGTGCGCCAGACGGGTTAAAGTTGACCCATCTGGGCACTATTGCACACCAGGAAAGCCCATTGGTTTTGTGGCTTCTTTATTTATGTGTTGCTGAGGAATTGAGGCCAGGGCCTCTACCACTGGCCAGTGGCCCCAAGCACTGTCCCTCAGCTCTTCAGCTCAAGGCTAGCGCTCTAGTGTTTGTTACAGCACCACTTCTGGATTTTTTTTTTTAAATTTATGTGGTGCTTAGGAATCGAACCCAGGGCCTTGTGCATGCAAGGCAAGCACTCTGCCACTGAGCCACCTTCCCAGCCCAAGGAAGGCTTCTTAAACCCATGTCCCTGACGTAAGCAAGAAGCTGCAAGTGCTGCTCCACCGCTAGGTGGAGCTGAGCGCATGCCCCTAGATCCTTCCTTGAGCAATACCCTCTGCTGGGGGGTGAGGGGTGGTGGGGTGGGGATGTGTTTTCAGCTTCATGGGCTGGGCTCGGGGAGACAGCCGTGGGGCTGCACACAGCAATAAGCTTCACTCACCTCCGGCCTCTGCTTTGTAACTTTATTAAGGTGACTGAAACTTCTATCATTATACTACACAAATCCATTCATCGTGGTAGTTAATATACATACACACATATATATATATATATAATACAGAGGCTTTCTGGGACGTCTGGTCACAGGGCGCTGTCTAGCGAGGCCGCTTCACCTTGCTTTTCTCCACCGCCTCGGCAGCTTTCCTCTTCTGCGATGCTGCAGGATCCTTATTCTGCAGGAAGGGGACGGCTTCTGGGAGGCAGTAGTTTGCTATACAAGGAGGGGATTCCTGCAAAGGGAAGTGAAAAGTAAGCCTAACTGTTTATATGCGGTTGCCTGTGTGTATGATGGTAGTACTGGGACCTTGGCTTTTCCATCCAAGGCTGGTGCTCTACCCGTTGAACCATGCCTCCACCTCCAGCTTTTTGGTAGGTAGTTGGGAATGGTTTCTTAGATTTGTCTAGGCTGGCTTTGCACCTTGGTCTTTTAGATCTCAGCCGCGTCTGTAGCCAGGATTATAGATGCAGATGTGAACCACTGGTGCCTGGCTACACTAATTTCAGAGGGCTGGGAAGGTGGCTCAGGGGCGCTCGCCTTGAGCAAAAGCAGCTCAGGGGCGGTAGCCAGGCCCAGAGTTCAAGCCCCAAGCCCCAGGACTGGAAAAAACAAAAACTTGAAGTTTTCTTCCTAGGTCCTGGCAGGTCCACTCTTGGCAGGCGCTGGGCTGGGCTCTGGTGGCGCCTCAGCGGAGGCCACCGATAGTCACCGTTCCATCCCATTCCACAGTTTCAGACCAAATCTTATGTCACGAAACTTTAAGGCCAAAACCCAACAGCTTCTCCCTGACCCCGTCTCCTTCCCAGCCATTTCCAGTATCCAGCAGTGGACAGTAAGCAAATCCTAGGGGAGCTGGGACCTCGGGACCTCGTCTCCCCACGTGCTGGTTGATGAGCCTGACGTGGGGAGACAGACGGGAAGCGTGAGACCCCCCACATCCACGCTGGACACCTGGACTGAGGTCTGGGCTACCACTGCAGGCCAGTCACGTGAGCTCACACGGGCCGGGCCCTCAGCCCCGAGTTCCTTCCTCAGAACCTAACGAAGCACTTATCAACTTTAGGCTTCCCGGGCTGACGGTTACACAGCGCTCAGGAGGGTCTCCCGAGCCGCAGCGCTGCCCTCCCTCTCCGAGGTTCCAGCCCTTGTTTCCTTCATCGCAGCAGGCACCTCCTGCCACCAGAGGGCCGTCCCCGCTCTCCTGGGGAAGTGTCTAGGCCGTTGAGTGAGCCGAGCTTTTGGAGCTGCTTGGGCTCTGGCCCCAGCGGGCGCGTCTGCGGGCGTCGAGCCGCGGGACCCACCTGCATGAGATGGTCGGCGATGTACTCGGTGCGCAGGCAGCGCACGCCCTGGGCGGCGGCCTCCGCCACGCTCACGCCCGGGTCCTCCGCCTTCCGCTTGTGCAGGTCAGAGAAGAGGTGCGTGGCCTCTTTGAACAGAGACGCGGCGTGGCCGGACAGCACCTAGGGAGCAGGAGGGGGCGGTGGAGACGCCGGTGTGGAGACGCGGCGGGGCGGGCGGGGCGCTGGGGGAGACGCTCACCCTCGCTCCTCCCGACTGGAGAAGGCGCTTGAACCCCGCCTCTCGGGACTGCTCCACGTGCAAGATGACCTTCCACCCGCTGAACGCCCCCTGCGCAGGAAACAGCCGGGAAATCACCGGGGAAGCGGCGGCGCGGGCCCCGGCGCGGGCGGGGGGCGGGCCGCGCGTACCTCGGCGCCGCCCGCCTGCTGCCGCTCCTGGATGGCCTTCCTCCACCGCACGGCGGCGCGCGCGAGCCGCCGCTGCTGCTCCGACGCGCTGCCCGACGCGTCCAGGACGGCGCTGCTGCCCCACTCGTAGTCCTCCTCCTGCAGGGGGGACGCCGCACGCGGCTGCCGGGCTTGCTGCGCGGAGCAGCGCCGCGCAGCCGCGTCCACCCGGCTCTGCGTGAGGATCCGAGGACGGGCGAGCGCTGCCCACGCTCCAGGCCCTGGCAGCGCGCGCGGGGCAACTGCCTGCTCGCGACCCCCCAAGCAGCGGACACCCGAGCTCCGCTGCGTCCTCGCGCAGCCCTGCCACCAAGAACCTAGAGAGGCAGGCGGCGGCGGGGAGAGAAAAGGAAAGGAAAGGCGAGCCAGGAAGAGGGAGGAGAGACTGGAAGGAGGTAGCCGAGGCAGGGGGAGAGGGTGGGGAGCCACGGGGGGCTCACCGGCACGAAGCGGCCCGCGGCGCGGCACGCTTCCATGAAGGAGCGGTGCACAACCCACTTGCCCGCGGCCACGGACGCCAGGAATTTCTCGTTGCGCAGCGGGTGGCCCACGACGATGTGTGTGCAGCTGGGGTCGAAGCACTGCTTCTCGATCACCGACCCGCCTGGGGGGGAGACGGGGCGTCAGCCCAGCTCCCACTGCAGACAACCGCGGGCAGCAGCGCACCCAAACGCTACGCGCATGGAACCGTAGTGGCGGTCTGTCTGCGTGGAGTATCATTTCAAGTACAAATGTAGCTAAAATAATAAAAGAACCCTCTCGGCACAAGGCCGTTCTCTCGCCCTCTGTCCTCCTGTCTTTTCTGCAGG